AAAGCAAAAACTTGGCATCCAAACATCCGTGCATTTTGAGAAATATAAAATTCGTAGATTGGACCAAGTCACGAAAGAAATTCTAACAATAACGTTTTTTACGAAGTCAGTCCTAAAAGCTTTGTTTTATATTATACATTTCATAAAGTCATAAATTAAATTAGGTAAAAGAACTCTGATATACTTCGTGCATATACAGGTGTATTGAATCGAGTAAAAACTTAAACAAACACTTATTGAGATTGCAGGACTCGAACAGTCTGTATAATTATAGCATAGCCGGTAGCGTAAATATTGAAAACAATTTCAAATCGTTGTTTTACCCTTTATAGCAAATTAAATTATGCTTAGAAATTACTATATTTACCCCTTCATAACATTAGTACATATGTTTACAAAGTATTCCCTTAGACAGCGGGGATTTCTTTATGTTTGCTTACATATAAAACACGGCATGGCTTACTGTAAGTACTTCACCCCTTCCATCTGACGGTATGGCTTTGTATTCGTGACGGGCCGGGTTCCGTTTTATATTTTTGCTTCGCGTCTCGTTACCAAAACCGCTTGTGGTTTATTGAAGGATCGAATTGGTTGCGATGGCTTAGAGCAATATTTCTCCCAAAATCGGTCTCCCCCGGTCAGTCCCGGTAACTGTTGCGGTCTAACTTGCGAAAGGCGAATAAGAGTAGTATAACAAATTGGGCGCTCCAGAGGTGTGTGTACCAATATGGAGGTAACTAATTTTGTTCGCCTACTTTACATCAAGTTGTGTAATGGTACTAAAACCTATGGGCAGGGGTATATTCACTTGGCTAACACAAACAGTCGCCGAACTTGTAATAGAACTAAAATAGGGAAAATGGGAATAAAATTATGCCCTAACCCTTCCCTGGTACACACATTACAGGAGTACCCAAAATTGGGGTTGAATTACAGTTAGCTAAAATTAGAAATTTCGCAACGTTTTCAAGATCGCAGATGTGTTTTGCATTGTGTTTACGTAAAATTGGCAATGCATCTCAAGTGCCCTTGAGTTTTCTTTGTTTAAAATGAGTGTTGGTCGGTTTCCCTATCTTTTAGGTTTCCTATGGCAGATTTCTAATTACTGATGAGCGATCAGAAGCCTGATTTCTCATTTTGTTTGTTTACTAGAGCGTTTGTGGGTCGAAATTTCGAGTTTCTGAGTGTTTCAAATTTGGATATACTCTCCCGGAGTAGGTATTCAAAATACATAAATTTGAGCTTTTTCGATACGGATCTATCAGAATTCGTTCACCAAAACGCTATAAGACTAACTGCACACTAACACTAATATATTTTTGTAACGCTTCGTTAAATGAAACGTTACAGAAATAAATACATCTGTGTTAGTATGCAGCAAAACTCTTGAATCACTTAGGATAGTTATCTTTACTCTTGTTACAGCATCCTTACATTATAAGCATACAGATCCACCGGCACGAAAGCATGAAAGAAGAATAAGTAGTTAGTCCCGCAGAAACCAATTCATTAGCGCAAGACTGCACCATATTGCTAAAACACCAAGCTCTGATATTAAATTTTCCTGCCGTCACGCTTGTCACGGGCTAATATGTTTTCTTTGTATAGGAGATTAATCGGTTATCATGTAAATTTTACGGTCAGCTACATGAAACTAATCATAGACGCCAAACAGCGACCAGATTTTGGAAACTTGCCAAACTAGGGTTTTCAATTACCATTTGAGGGGAAAATTAAAAAAAATATAGGGTTCAATAAAGTCATAAAAAAATTTAGATTTCCAAAGGAATTTTTCGATACCATATATTGTTTTGACCCTCACAGATGTATTAAATGAAACAAAAATACTTGAACACATGATCACACAAAAAATTCACATTTACAAGTATTACTTCAATATTACAATAGAATAGACGGTTAATCCTCGTGAAATACGTCTTCAATTAACTCACTGTTTTAACTAATTAAAGCAGCCATATTGCCCGTGGCTGTTGGACCGATGCCAGACCGGATATGTTTTAATTCAAAGCGCGCGCTTGTATTTTAAAATTTATAAACTATGCAGCTATTATCATATAAAGCCTTATTCAAAAAGTCTAATTATAGCGTCTATGAAGGTTAAATACAATCCTATATCACATGCGGGCAGTTTTTTCTCGTTTCTAGTCATAGTCGTTTGTCAGCCCATAATTTAATAAAATTTCGCATCTTGGATTACTTCGAAGTAGGGCTGGGCATTTCGAATCGAATCGAATAGTAAATTATTCGAATCGGTTGAGATCAAATCTTCGAATCGCCGCCATCTTGTTTTACTTTTTCCGCCAATAGTCGAGGTAAATTTCTCAATTTTTTTTTATTGAAGCCATATTTTTTCAACACAATTCTGACATATGACTTTTTTCTGTATTGTGGTATTGATGAAAACGTGTTTTTTTATTATTGTCAGTGATGTATTCTATGTTTCCAGTAATTTATGTGTCTAGAGGACCCAAAATAATAAGAAAGTTACGTACAATTTCATACCTTTCAAGTAGTCGAGATTCGATTCGATTCGAAAAAATTATTCCATTCGATTCTGAAATCATCAGGTATTCGAAAATGCCCAGCCCTACTTCGAAGGCAAAGTAAATTTTTTGACAGCTTCTAAGATATTGTAAGATATCAGTGGCTAATTGTATCTATTAATTTTCGGAGTCAACGTCGCGAGTAAGCGTCGTACGAAAAATATGCTTTTGCCTCCCAATTTTGGGATGGCTACGCTGTTGTTCGTATTTCAACGGAAAGGAACAATTTTCTCACAGCGCACCTGACATGATAAATTTTACACGAAATAAGACATTTTTGAAGGTAATTTACCAACTGTTCACGGCCCGAGGGAGTTTAAATAATAACTTTTGAAGTAGGCCAGCAATTATGATCGTATCGCGACGTCGCTAAAGTGTTCTTGGTCAGCTAAAAATGGCTTGTAGTTTACACTTTCGATTTTTAAACAACGGAAATGTCCAAATATAAAATGATTAATGACATTTTTCGAATAACACGATTCTGGCAACCTTAGTCGCCAAAATTTTTTTTTTGTATCACTAATTTTCACGTCTTTCACGGGGGGGGGGGGGGGGGGGGGGGGGTTCAATTTTATGAGGTAGTAGATATTTTGTTCTTAGTGAAAAACTATTTATTTGTAACTTGTGTGTACATATACATAATGTGTTATGTATTTGACATATAATCTGTATTGGCATATAAATCACTTACTGGACATCAAAATACAATTTTATTCAAGTTAAGAATTAAAGTATGATGTCGCACCTGTGTTTCAAATTTTAGGGAGAGTGTTCACCCATTAGAGGGGAGTATAGGAAAATCAATGTAACGCACTTGATGTCTACACACCTATTCAATGATAGCATGGATTTAAAAACCAAATGCGGGTCTAAGAATCATAAAATTCCTAAATCAAAATTTGGTGTTTTGCCGTAATTCCAGGTTTACTTCATAATACTTAACATTATGAAACATTATTTTTGTCTCGAAAATCGTTTGTATACAGACTTTCAAGCGCATTAGATGACGGTATTTATTTACCTGCTTAAGCTATGAATCACATAGAGTTGAACGCAGTACCATAACTGGTTTCGTATGATGTGTTACGAAATACTAATAATGCGACTGGGCATCTCTAAACTTGCTTTTCCATTTAGTAATAATTTTGAATTTCGTTTCGTCCAAATTTTAAAACTAAATCGCACATGAAAAAGAATCCCGTGGAGTCCCTAGTTGAAATAAGAAAAAAATGGTCTTTTGGCAAAAAATACAATTTGTAATCATTGAAAATTTCAAAGCAATTAGTGCAGTAAATTAAGAGATATTCAATTTTTTACAACGATGAGGAGAAGAAAAACTTACGTCGCTATGAACAAGACTTTAGCTAATAGCCCAGCCCTGTATCAAATATATTCATTCAAACATACAGCGCTAACCCAAAGTTTTATCAAAAGTGTTATCGCTATAAATAGGACTCCAGACAAAAAACAAAGGGACTCGATATTTTGACAATTTTAAGTATATTCATTTCGCATCAGTTTCGCGAATAGTTTCGTTTTATATGTCTTAATACAAAAATAAAAAAATAAAAAATAATTTTATGTAGATTAGTTCAAAAAATGGGCGAGTCCTTCCTTGCCTTAGAGCAATTTAACTTGTTTTCATGCTATTTTGTTAAATTTAGAATAAAATGTCAGTTTTTGACACTATAAAGACCCAGTCACACAGCGTGACAAATCGAAATATGAATTTAGAGATGAGGTTTTTTGATAAAAAGAAAATTGGTTTCAGAGTTTCATGTTTAAACTAGTCAAACACAGGACAGATGCTATTATAGATGACAAAAATTATTAAGTCGTTCTGTTTCGAGCGGCTATAAAAACGGAACCCGACACGTCAACGGTGAAATAAATAGGCCAGACAAGGCCGTTTTTTGCGATCACAAATTTTATTTTATATTAAAAACAAGTTATTCTCAAACACAATAATAACTTCGTATATTTAGAGGTGTCAGTATTAAACTATTTGACGCGGTGGGCATTTTTTAACGCTTAACGCTCCACCATAATTCTATTTAGTCTCAGTAGCCCTCAATATTTAGGTGGTTTCGCGTAACTTTGCTCAGAGATGAGTCCTCTTTACTCCAAAGGCTTAGGAATATTAGTGAGTATGTCTGGCCTTCCGCTGGACAAATTATTTTATGAAATATTAGCACTTTGGTTTACGTTGGCATCGCATATGAAAGCCCAGTGATCAATTCGTAATCAGTCTGTTGTTTAAAAACGTTTTGATTTGCAAGACTTTTATTAGTCAATTTCAAGTCTGGCTGTCGCATATTGAAGTAGAAATTCTTATTCAAACATACCTAAGCAGGCGCCATATCTGAGATACAAGCTCAAAGCAGAAATGTGCACGAAATACTCCCTAAGACCACAGTTTACAAATTCAAAACATACCTTCATTTCCGTTAGCTCTTGCAACCTCTGAGACAAGAAACACGCTGATGAACACCAGGATACTTAGTGTTATATCCATCTTTACGATAATCCAGAATAATTTTTTTTTTTTTAAAGTCAATAATACAATATTATTATATTTTCGGTTGCAAGAATTAAATATTCATCTGTAAGACCATAAAATGTATTTAGTTTATATTGTTCACACGACGATAATTGATGACTTTCGCTCCAGATAAGGCCATGTTCAAGTAGCCACTGATATCTAGCGACGGGGTCGTAAATTTTCAAAGGGGAGAGGGTGATTGTGAAATTTTGAATTTCCAACTTAGCTCGTGGGTTTTCAAGAGTCTTGAGGGTCTAAAGCGTTTCAAGCTACGAAAAATTGTTTGCTATGTATGATACGGAAAAATGCCTTCTTTACCTTGCAAACGGGAAAGTTCCGGTCTAACTTTCTCCATGTGAACCAAGTATGGCGCTATGTGTACCCAATCTGGCGCTATGTGTACCCAATCTGGCGCTATGTGTACCCAATCTGGCGCTATGTGTACCCAATCTGGCGCTATGTGTACCAAGTTTGGCGCTATGTGCACCCAATCTGGCGCTATGTGTACCCAATCTGGCGCTATGTGTACCCAATCTGTCGCTATGTGTACCCAATCTGGCGCTATGTGTATCAAGTTTGGCGCTATGTGTACCCAATCTGGCGCTATGTGTACCATGTTAACATGGGTTTTCAAGAGTCCTAAGGGTGTAATAATGGTTTCAAGCTACGAATAATTGCTATGTATGATACAGAAAAATACTTTTTTTTAATGCGAGAAGGCTGGTTACGCCCCTTTCTAGTGATTATAAGAAGCTCCAATTATTTGAAAGAATATTGCGCTTTGCCTACTCAATTTTTATACCCTGGATGATATAGAACAGGGTGGTCCAAACCCAGGCCCGCGGGCCACATGTGGCCCGCCGCTTCATTATCTGTGGCCCGCGTCGCATTCGGCGAGGAATCAAAAAATCGCATTTTGTGTTGTTTCGTCATAAATTAACCAAAAAATCTTTTGACATATTGTTTTGACATATCACTAATGTCACTGAAATGACTAGTGTTAGGGCTTGCTGAGGCAACTAGCGAAGTTAAACGAGCGAAGTTCTTGGCACTATTGTGGCCCGCGAACAATGCAAAAGTAATTTTGTGGCCCGCGGAGCTGCCAATCTTGGACCACCCTGATATAGAAGCATTGGGTATATAGCTGCTTTATCGCGCCAACTATTGGTATGCAACATCGAAATAAATAACTAATCCCTGGTTCACGCTGTCTGAAGCTGTAAATGAATATAAATTCGGGGTACTAGGTATTGTGAACTAAACTGCAAAACCTTTCTCTCTGAGGATACGTATATGTCGTTTGCTAGAAGAATGCTTGAACGAGATAGTTTTGTAAAAATAAATGGAAATAACATAATCCTTTTCACGAAATAGCAAGTATATATTTGTAAGCTTCCGTTATAGGTCTAACTTCTTCAGACAAAACAAGATATACCTGCAAATATGAAAGATCAATAGACAGGTAGAAATTTCGAAAATATTAGAGATGAGGCGGGTTAGGTCTGTTTCTACTGTCTGTCTCTTTGATATAAATTCATCTCAAAAACTAACTACGCCGTCTTCGCGTTAAAATCACCCCTTACCCGTGTATATTTACTAAACGAGAAACAACATTCTAATCAAACTGCCCCGTATCTCAAGTTACTGTGTAAATATAATCAAAAGGACGCATCAAGGAAAATATAAAGATAACGAACAGTACTTAAGCAGGGTCTAGAGACTCTCAATACACGGTCTCGCAAAGTAAACAAACTCAATAGGGCTATATCAGCAATGGGACTTAGATTGCGATCCGTAATTGGTCAAGTGAAGAGAGAATATATAACATTGTCGTATTATGTTTGTCCGACGTCTGATAACCAAATTAATCAACGAATACATGAGTCTTTTCTGGCCTATTTCAGTAACGTAAAAACTTCGATGTACTCAGTTATGCATGGTCGGTACATAACGAAGCAATACTCAATTTAACCCACACTATCCAAATTTATCCAAAGTTTTTATACCAGTGGTCAAAAAGTTTTGCCCACCTAGATTGGCGGGCTATTTAAGTATGACGTGAAAAGTTCCATTTTATGAACAATATTTACAAAAGCAAAAGTGGAAAACAATAATCCTCATGCCAAAACCAAATTTAATCGCAATCTCAACAATTCCTTGAGCTATTTTTCAGCTAAAACATCAAAACTTTATTTTAGTTTGGCTGTGCAGGCATCAGACCGGCCAGATTGGATTTGACTCGCGGGTCGTAGTTTGCTTATGCCAGCCATATTCAATCCTATTCCTAACCTGCCTTCTGGGTGATAGTTCAGTATCCAGATAGTCCTCAAGTACTGTGTTGGCGTGTTAAATATATTTTTGACTTGACCTCAGAAACCGTATGCTGCCCTCACTTTTTCATATATCAATAACTCACCCGAACATTTATTTTTAATTTCGAATCGACTATTTACCATCCAGTCGCTATGCCATTTACAAATGGCTACAGATTATAGGCGATGCGGTCCATCGCTTCACCGTTTAATCTGATTCTGTTTCAGACTAAGGACTAGTTTTTGAAATGAATCATCCGACCTTACAGTGACTTTGTAGACAATATTCTATTTCAGATAATATTTCGAACAAGCTGTCGACTCGAAAAGCCAATCTTTGCTATATTTTGAAAATTAGGAATTTTGTGATTGTACTATTCGACTTTATCATAAAGGTTCATAAAGTCCATTCACCACTTCAATTTTGTTACGAAGTCATTTCTCAATGTATCTTAATCAGGTTTGTTTTATTTTATTGAGGGTTTACTCAAGTTTTTTTTTCACGTTTGATACACCTTCATTGATCGCGGAACCAGCAACGCACAATGCACTAACTGAAGCTAAACCGTGAAATATACAACAGCGCAAGAAATCAACGAGCTCGTCTGCAAGACTTTTTGTTCGAGAACCTGAATTACCTTCAATTAAGCGGCCACGTTGATTGAGCAATATTCTGCCAAAGTCTGACAGAATATATTTCTTGCTCAGGGTCAACCAATCATTCTTCATTGATTAAAAGCTTAATGTTTCACGTAAGAACCCCCAATTAGCGGACGAGACGGCGATCGCCACCGGCGACAGGAAACGGTTTCTGCGGGATAGATAACGCCGTTACGCGGTCGAATATATCAAATTTACTCGACCGCATTTTATCAAGAACACGATCTGAATTAACACACACAATGTAAAATATTTACAATATACAATAACTGTGATAATATCAACACAATGCTACCCAGCTATTGATTATTTTGAAATACCCAATCAAAGATACGAAATTATCGCTTGTTATACGCTTACGGATCTAATATATACGGATACGGATTGCGTCAAAGTATAGAGCAAGAAAAATTATTTAGTCTGATAGAATTCCTAACTAAAAGCGCTCAAATCAGTATAAATATTCTACTCTAAAGCAATTTATATTTTATTCGAGGATAAGTATTAAATAGTGGGAAAGTGCGTGTCTTTTTGTTAATATCCATATCAAAACACTGCCTAGTTTAATCTGTACCCTGTTTAGTTTCGACGACTTTCCTGCATTTTTTTGGCGTATAAATTACATAAATCCATGTAAATATAACATTATTTATTACTAGATGAAATAAACATTTTTTAAAATGTTAACCCTGCTCAACTATTACTTTATTAAACTAGGCTCAAATAGGCATCAACCAAAGAAACGAGTTTTTTGAGAATAATGGAAAAATAAAATATTTCTATTATAACCAGATAAACGACTGAAAGCATGCAACTCATTGACTTACTTTTATCACAATAACGACTGACTGTCCAAAACTTTGTCAAGAGCGAACATGTATAACATTATTCGCATTTATAATCTCACAACTCAAAAACAGTAACCTGTCTCAGACTGTCTGATGTTTATTCAAATATCACAAAATTTATATTTTATAATTGCAGTTTACTTGTGATAACAACTATATATCTCCAGAAAAGTTTCTACTTCTATTCAAGCTTTCATTTTGGCATTTCCGTTATTTAATCTAAAATAAATATCGAGTAAATTTTTCAAATGTGCCGCTGTCTAAGCAAACATTCTTTCTACTTACAACTGAAATATTTCCTGACGGTAAAAAAAATTCGCCTCACGAAAAAGCTAGACACCCTCATTGAAAAAAAAAGGTTTTTCTTTCAACGTTTGTATTATTTTTCGGTCCTTTTGCCGCTCGTGTTGCCGTTTTTTGGGCCTGTGACCCTCGATAGGAGAAAACAAACAAACGAGAGAAGTCACGCATGATTGATTTCCTAAAAAAGAGAAACAAATGACGAGCAATACTCCTGAATGATAATAAGAGAGAGAAAACTTTTTCCTACGCAAATCTCACTTTTTTAAATAACTTGAGCGATCGTGAAGCTTATTTGGGTACGTACCGATGATTTTTGACGCATTTTTTACGGTGTTTAAGCTTGGTAAATGAACCCAATTTGATCTCAAATTTTTGGCTAATTCCGCGGCTAAAAATTGCCGCTCAGCTGAGCGTATCTCCCTCCAAATTTAGCTTCCTTTGTGCGGAATGCGAATTGTATTACGCGTTTCTTCGCTTTTAAATAAGCGTTGATTGAGATTTGATTAAATAATAAAGGAAATGGTGTCTGAATACAAACATTTTATCTAACATCGAGTGTTTTTAGTTGGTTTAGTTGGTTAGGCTTGTTAAATTCTCATTTCAAGCATCTGCTTTCCTCAAAACCAAAACTAATTCTAAACTAAGTAGCGGTGGGGCAATAACCGGATGGCCTCGTGTTAGTGACCTGTACGTTAACTAACGCAGTTTCCCTTTACCGACTGCATCTACTTGCGCATATACACATAATTAGCTAGGATGCTGTCGCAATTATTTTCTGTTGATATATTGTGAGTATTGGGTATTGGCTTAATCCGCAAATTGTAATTTTAAACAGATAAGTATGAACTCTTCAAGATGAAACTTTGATTACGTCCCGAGCTCGGTTTTTAAAACAAAACAGTTAAGTGCTGATTCAACTAATATATTTAGGCAA